AATATTTCCCAATTTACTGAAGTAAATGCATCCAGGGAGGGTAATACCTCATATTCGGAAGATATATTCCCCCCCAAAAAACTTACCGAACTATTTAGCAAGAATAATACAGTTCGCTTTCAAAGTGGCTATGAAAAATCTTTTCTATTTAAACTATATAGCATGTCGGATCCAGATTCTCCTCTTTCACTCATTTCTTGTTCAGGTTGCGGTGCCCGACTTCATTCTCGTTCTCCTGGGAAGGCTGGCTTTATTCCTTTAAAAGAACTTTTATCGATCTCTAAACAAACTCAAAGTACTTCCTCACCTACTCTGATCCAAGTGTGCCTTCGTTGTCAGCTTCTTAATAACCATGCAGCAGCACTTAAGGTACTTGTATACCTTGTCATACTTCCAAGGTTTCTGCTGATCCTGAAAGCTATAAGGGGGTAGTATTACACCATATCCGTAAACAATGTGATGCTGTTATTATCGTCGTAGCAGACATGCTGAATTTGCCGCATTGTTTAGATCAGGCGTTATTTTCGGATATTGGGAGCCACAGGTACTTTATATTTGTTTTCTAAAATAAGATACATTATTTTGGGAAATAAAGTCGACCAGTTGCCCATCGATGGGAAAGGATTTTATTGGAGGTGGAGAGCTTCTCTTATCGAAGCTATTAAATTTAAAACCAAAATTCCACTTAGTAGTATTTGCTACGTTGGTATGATTAGCGCTTTGAATGGATATGGGATCAATGCTCTCATCGAATTCTTGCTATCGAAAAAATTTCACTCTGATGGTTAGTTAAACCTAATCGTGTCATACCTTTGATATTTCTCTAGCTAATTGGATCTTTAAAGATTAATCTTTACTCATTTTTTTCTACAAGCACCTATATACGTTGTCGGAAGTACTAATGTAGGCAAATCTACATTATTCAATATGCTATTGATGTCAGACCTGTGCAAATCAGAGGCCCGCGAATCAATACATAGGGCTACCATCTCTTCCTGGCCAGGTACTTAAGCAGTCATTTGAAGAAATTTTATTGGGGGTATACTGATTACAATTCTAATTAGGTTAATCAAGTGGGTTTTTCTATATATTATATTTATCTTTACTACTATTTTTTCACATTATACGGCCATATGCTCATCATACATTAATGGTTCCCATTAGTTAATTGGTTCATCCAAAACTCTTGCATACACCCAAATTAGTAATATCCAGT